ATTCATACTTGGCTGTTCCACTACTCACATGCATGGGTTCTCACCAGTCACACTCTCATTTTGTCAAGTTCATGCACTTGGTGATTGTCTGGTTCATACTTGGCTGTTCCACTACTCACATGCATGTGTTCTCACTAGTCACACCCTCACTCTATGAAGTTTATGCACTTGGTGATTGTCCGATTCATACTTGGCTATTCTACTACTCGCATGCATGTGTTCTCGCTAGTCACACTCTCACTTTGTCAAGTTCATGCACTTGGTGATTGCCCAATTCATACTTGGCTATTCCACTACTCACATGCATGTGTTCTCACTAGTCACACTTTCACTTTATCAATTCCATGTGTTTGGTGATTGTCCGATTCATATTTGGTGAGCCGACTTGACACACACATGGCCTAGTAGGACCCCCGTGCTCTAATCGAACGTAGCAAGTAGGAGTGAGGAAGATGACTATGTCCTGGCTAGGACGACTGTTGCTGATGTTACTGTGCACATCAATGTTTGCTGCTGCTGCTGCGGACTGACCAAGTCCCTTGCTGTAGCTGCTGCTGCTGAAAAACTGGCGGCCAACCTCCGGAGCACGGGCGGGCCCAAAATGGGACTAAGGGGCCAATGCGGCCGAGGGGGGGGCACTTTGGTTGAGTCTCGTTAAACCAAGGATATGAGGGCTGGGACTTCTCAGACCTCATATCCTAGGCATAAACAGATGACCTGCAGAACCTGCATGTCATCCGAGTCCATTTTCTGCAAAAACGAAAAATGGATTTTACCGAACTATTCGCCTTGAGGCCCGGACGGTGCCCGAAAACGGCAAGTATGGGCAAACGATAAGGGAATCCAACCAAATTTAATAGGGTGCTTTCATAGGGCACAAAAAGTGAGCACACCAAAATAGGACTGATTCTGACCTCGTTTAGGTTAGAAAATGCAAGCCTGTGTTTTTCGGCTCTCCTCCTTAAGCGAAAATGGCAAAAACGGCAAAATTTGTAGATCTGCAAAGACTGCGTTTCCTGAAATCTATGTTTTTGTGCAAAAGCCTGTGCTTTCTGTATATCTGTTGTAGAGTACTACTGCGAGTTTAAAGGTTTTGAAGTCCGCGGCAAGGGAAAACCTAGGAACAAAGTCGGACTCGTGAAGTAGGGCGAAAGATCGGCCGCCTCACATCACCTCCCTCCTCCAGCTTCTTCACCCATCCGCCATAGCCATCCACCTCACACCATCTCCCTCCTCCATCTTCCTCACCCGTCCACCATAGTCATCCGCTTCACACCATCTCCCTCCTCCATCTTCTTCACCCATCCACCACAGCCATCCACCTCACTCCATCTCCCTCCCCCATCTTCTTCACCCATCCACCATAGCCGTCCACCTCACACCATCTCCCGCCTCTATCTCCTTCACCCATCCACCATAGCCAACCACCTCACACCATCTCCTCGTCCATCTTCTTCACCCATCCACCATAGCCATCCACCTCACACGATCTCCCTCCTCCCTTCTTCACCCATCCACCATAGCCATCCACTTCCCACCATCTCCCTCCATCTTCTTCAACCATCCACCATAGCCATCCACCTCACACCATCTCCCTCATCCATCTTCCTCACCTATCCACCATAGCCATCCACCTCCCACCATCTCCCTCCTCCATCTTCTTCACCCAACCACCATAGCCATCCACCTCACACCATCTCACACATCCATCTCCTTTGCCCGTCCACCATGGCCAGCCACCCTACACCGTCCTCCTCCTCCATCATCCTCAATCATCCTCCATGGCCAACCACCTCACACCCCTTCCCTCTTCATCCCGTTCACCAACCAATGACCATGACCAAAGGGGCGCAAAGAAGCAAGGGCACAGAGAGGGAACCTTAGGTAGGATGGTGGGGATAAGTAGGGGATGAATTGATTGGGAGTAGAGACTCTCATTCTCTCTCTCTCTCTCTCTCTCTCTCTCTCTCTCTCTCTCTCTCTCT